ATACCTACATGAGTTAAACGACTATTATTCTTAGGCCTGATTTTTCAATCGTCGGATAACTTTTAACTGAAGAATAAGTTTGGCATATTGACAGTTTCAGTATAGGATAAATGTCAAAATGACAAGTTTATTCTTCAGTTAAAAGATATCTGACGATTGAAAAATCAGCCCTTAAACTAACTGATCTATCATAACCGTTATAGTTTTCCTGGAAAGTTCATAAAAAGCGTTATTATTATGAATTTTTCCAGATTTTTCAAGCCAACATTTTAGTTTTTAGACCGGGAGGGGGGACTTTACTTGGTCTACTGGAGCCAGGGCTACAAGATGCATTACCTAGATAAAAGGTAACCAAACATTGTATCACAATTCAGTCAAGGAAGACGACGCGAAATCCGTCATCATCAAGTGCCTATTGATCTCTTAAATTGACGGATATTTACGTAGGGTAGGACTTCAATTCATTTACACACCAGAAGACCTATTACGCCCGGCTATATGGTAGTTTATTAAGAATTCTTTCAGCACATTTGAAATTCACTACAAAGGTTTTGCCCCTGTAGCTTTTAACATATACACCGGCCAATCTTCTTTCAGCTTCAACGTAACGGGACGATGCTGACGAGACGACTTTTACGTTTTCCTCACAGGCCTTCACTGCAGATTATTGCGAAAACTGCCAACGAAAGCTTAAATAGCTTACAAAACAAAAGACCGCTTCGTCCTTTGAAAATCTTTATCGGGTCTAAAATATGTAAGGCGCCTTTAAGCGCGCAAGTTCCATGCATGCCGTTGGCCTCTAATCCGAGTTTGGGAGAGCAATTATGTGATAAAGGCTGGAGCACGACGTAATATCGCCTTCAGAGGCGATTTGAATAAGCTACAAGTAAACGATCTAGTGATCTCGTCTAATAGGATACCAAGCTAAGAGAAACTATAGTCGGTGTTAAGTGGGAAAAATCACATTAATAGCTTAACCACGGAGTAAAAACTTTTTGTTTGATGTTTATGGCATTTATTTATGCATTTATTTTTTTCGTTATTTTGGTATCAACTCGCGTATGAATGTTGTTCACGATAGATCTTGTTTTGGCATATCCATAAACTATAACAATTTATGGGTGAGTTCATCCAGTTTCAATAATAAAGTTTATATTTTTTTACCCGACTGTGCCAGATGGAGGGTTATGTTATTTTTTTATAACTATTTTTTATATTTCTCTACTTTTAATTCCTATGGTTAACTTAAGAAATATAGAATTTTTTTTAGATGTGCGTTCGTAGAACTGTTTTCGTCTAGAACCAATGTCGAATAAACAAATTGTTATTAAAATATAGTAAAAGATAAGATAATAAATAAATATCTATTAGACATTTATGTAACTTACACTCTCGCTAACTTTTAAACACACCACTAAATGTTCCGTTTTCTGAAAATTTGATTATAATAGAAGCTCAAAATCCATTAGACTTCATTTCCCACTAAGTTAACCTGCTGGTAATGTACTTACATACCCAAACATTTCCAAAAATATTATTAAAAACTAAAATTATCAATCACATGAACGATAACGTTAGTGTACTGAGTGTATTTATTGATAATGATATTATTAAGGATTTAAATTGATAAATCCACAAGCTAAATTAGCTTTAAACCTTCACCTTGATCCAATTTAAGTTGAAAGGGCCCTGGCTTTTAATTCGAGTAACTGACATCAAAATTACTTCATAAACAGCAAAAATAAATTAGATTCGCCATAATTCGTCGGTTTCTGTTTCGCGTACAACCAATCCATTCATTAACTTGAAAAAAGTTTCGAGTTTGTTCCAAGACCATAAAAAATATAATAGGACCAGTTATTCTTACATCGCTTTAACTTCTCCATCTCTTTTCAATATGTCAATAGCAAAAGAGATATAAAACGTAATTGTTGTGACCGGCTATTTGTGGTGTGTTCACACTTATTTTTGGCGAGTGAGCCGCGAATAGAATCATTCTATCATAATCGGGTTTATGTGATCAGATTATAGAGGATAGTGGAGTGTTTTATGTAACAATATTTTAGTAGACGATAAGCGAAGTGCTGCCGTATTATTGAACCATGCGAATCTTACTCGCATACGATATCACACAATTCTTTATATTTTACGTTTAATTTTGGGAGTCCTTAAGCAATTTCTAATTAGGATGTTTCGGTAGTATTATGTCTCCTTTATTTATTGACTAGCGGCCGGCCGCCCGCGACTTCGTACGCGTGGATCCCGTTTTACCCCCTTCATCTATCTTACGCAGTTTAGATTTTTTCATACAAATGTTTTTTCCCGCTAACTCCCGTTCCCGTGGGAATTTTGCAATATCCTGTTGTAACTAATCTTTAAGTTTACTAAGGTACCTGCCTACCTGCATACCAAATTTCAAGCGTCTAACTTAAGCGGTTTAGATTTTTCATACATAAAGATTTTCCCGCTAATTCCCGTTCCCGTGGGAATTTCTAAGTATATTATATTATAACCTGCCCAGGAGTATGAAGAATAATAGTACCAAGTTTCACTGATCACCCCCTGATAGTTATTTTGGAAATATATTTCATGTACAGAATCGACCTCTCTACAGATTTATTATAAGTATAGATTTAGTTTGAGGCAAGATCTCCGTTCATCTAAAACTCAATAATTTAATAAAATTCAATTTTGCAACTCAGATCTCCAGATCTGAGGTTGTTGGAAAAAGATCAACTTTTTAGTTGCGGGTGTATATTATGTGAAACATACTTTTTTTACCCACTTTCAGTTTCTTTGAGAAACCTCGAGTGGGGCCCCAGTCAGCGGGTACTTGACGCTGGAATTTAAAGCATAAAATGAGGCAATAGACTTGTCATTTTTAAACTAGTTAGTTGCTACCTTTAATGCTTGCTTTCTCTCTCTCTCTCTTGTCTATCTATTTGAATCAATAGTTTGTCAAATTCATGAATAGGAAAGCCGATAGATTTTGCGCACGATATTGGATAGTACCTAAGTAAAAATCTCCCCTTTTAAATCGTCTATTTTTGTCGTATCGCTTTCATTTCTAAAACAATAGTTGCCTAGTTTATTTTCAACCGACTTCAAAAAAAAGGAGGAGGTTCTCAATTCGACCCGTATGTTTTTTTTTGCTATGTTTGTTACGCGATAACTCCGCCAATTATGAACCGATTTGAACAAATCTTTTTTCGGCGTATAGGTAATACCTCAAGGGTGGTCCCATTTAAATTTAATAATAGAAAAAACAACCCCCAAGGGTGGAAAATTGGGGATGAACTTTTTTATACGCAATATCTCCGCCGATTATAAATCAATTTGAACGATTATTTTTTTGTTGAATAGGTATTATCAAAAGGGTGGTTTCATGCGAATTTGAAGAAAATATTTCACCCCCAAGGGTGGAAAATTGGGGATGAACTTTTTTATACGCAATTTTTAGTTTTTTTTGTGTTCACGCATCTATTTAAAAAAAAAACTATTTAAAAGCACTTTTTAAAAAAAATAAAACCGACTTCAAATGAAGTCGGTTTTATTTTTTTAAAAAGTTAATCTAGAAAATAACTCCGGAGTGCATCCTTTCAACTGTCATGTTTCGATAAAAATGTAGCTATAAATGTTTTCCAGGGAAAACCGCATTCAGACTTTTAAAAATAAACATAGAAATAAAACTGTTTTTAATTGTACAACTTAAAATAGAGTAAACGTTTATAACTCAGAATTTTCTGAGTTATAAACGTTTGCACGGTCTTCAAAAAGTTTCAATGCAAAAATGTAACTGAAAATACTTCTGAGGTTCGCGGGAATACCGCATTCAGGTAGTTTATTATTCCCCAACTTCCCATTCTTTGTTTCAACCGACCAGCATCTAATAGGAAGGGCAATTTTCCACCAGACGCCGTAACAACCGTCAGCGCCGGCTCGGTGCGGAGACCGAGACGAGAGCACTTCGTATGCCTATTATATGACCCTTGTCCATTCATTGACTACTACAGCAACACTGTAATCAAACTACATGCATATTCGTTCTTATTACACCACAGCACGGTTCAAAGTTGCATACCTATGCAGTTACTCTTCGGCTTTTTTAAAAGTATTTGTCACTGCATCACATAATATCGATGTCTGGCGAAGAGAGAAGACGCAAACGTAAGAAACAGACAGCTTTTGCAGTTGTGTGGTGAACGAACAGTTATGAAAACCCGAGGTTTGGATGAGTTCCAATTCGATGTGTTTATGTTACCCAAACAAATGCTAGTTTCTAAACTCAGATTTTTTTAATGATAAATATTTCTGTATAATTTCCTCTGATAACTTTTACGGCTGACCTTGAATTCATGTTAAAATAAGTCAATGCGTATTCGATATCAATAAACTTATGCTAATTGTTGACATTGACATTCGAAGAGGTCATTCACACGAGAATAGATACGATACGATTATCGACAGAGACACGCTACTATGATTCATTTCGATATACGTATACAAAGTTGAAATAATGACATAATATCGAGCAATTAGAACACAACCAATTATGTCTTGGTGAATATTTAATTGCTTGGTTCTTAAAAGTTAACTACTATCGATTTCTTTATTAACTCGGAATAAGTTACTATGAGTCATTTGTAAATTGAAACTTCAAGACGATACTTGTGTCAATCATTGTCTTTGCTGATGTGTAATTTACCGGCGTCTATAATGATGCAATAAACAATTCAGTACAATGCGGATAAAACCTTATAAGGAGATAACAGAGAGTAAAATATTATAATAACTGACAGTACGAATTGTCAAATTTTTTAGCAAGTCTTAATGTGAATTTTATTCTAGTATACAATAAAAATTAAACTGCTGGCAACATATCAGATACCAAACAAAACAGAGACAATATTTGTAAACTTTTTTTATACCGGCAAACAGTTTACACTTTTAGCGCGCGGTGATTCTATTATTTTTCGCGGAGTCAATTTGACGCGCGCGGATAGGGATTGCCGCAACATGATCGATGCATCAATTAAACGATTATTGAAAATCGATTGACGCAATGGCCCGACGCCTCATACCAATCCGTGGTGACGGCAATTGTATGTTCAGATCAGTGTCTTACTGCGTGTACGGGACTCAAGAACGGCACCGGGAGATCAGAATGAGGGTCGTCGATAGAATAGTGGCGAATTGGCATTGGTACAAAGACTTCATTATCGGGGATACGTCTTACGGATGGAGAATGCAGAGCTCGAGTGATTATCGCAGACAGATGTCCCGCGACGGAGAGTATGCTGGCCACGTGGAACTGCATTGCGTCAGTGAGATCTTCGGAGATTACACCTTCAAAGTACACAGAGATGGCTGCTCTAGAACCATAGACTATGGCAGGGGAAGAACCGTCAAACATCTTTTGTTCTCGGGATTTTTAGATGCAGGACATTATAGTGTTTTGGAATATTATTAAAAATTTTTCGACATACATGATTCAGCTTTACATGTTTTTTTTGTTTTTCCTTGACACTGTGGCAGTGTCGCAAGCCTTTCTTTTTTCCATTTTTGGGCGGCAGATAAAAATGTCAGTGAAAAAGCAAATTACGGTACCCAGACATGTCGGCTGGGGCTCGTTAGTCGATAACATCTGCATGTTATTACCACTTTTAACTGTGAATCACGTTTGTTTCGTCACACGTTTGTTTTGTTTCAATACAAGTAGGTATCCATGTCAATCGTTACTTCAGTTCAGTGAGCGCTACTTATTTTCATAGTGTTATTTTTGTATTGTTATCTCTGCTGTTTATCTTATTGAGCGAGTTTATATTTTTTCTCGAATACAACCAGTATTTTAGCATTGCATCTGTTTAAAGCAAGGTCAAACTGCATTTGGTCAACGCACTAGAATGTTATTAACCTACTACAACGTAATTTAGGTGTTTACGTCATTTGAACTTTATCTTTATAATAATGACATAACTTTCATCGGAATATGTTTAATGAACAAATCATAATTTAATTCAAACATTGTAGCTATAATGCTGTTTTGATTTCGTTCACATTGAAAGCTGAAATTAAGATGACTTTACATTTAGGTAGTAATAATTGGGCCTTGAAATAAATACAGTAACTAAAAGATTTATCAACCGACTGAATAGTCAAAATTTTTACGTTTATCGCCTAACACTTTTACTGAATACTTTTTTGGTGTTGTAACATTATATAATTAGTACAGAGACATCAAATGCGGGCCCATTGAACCGGCACACCCTACGGGCTCGGCTGTTAACTTAATATGTGAGGTCAACTGTCGGGTCCGGCATTCGATTGGGGCTAATTCTGAACATGCCCCGGATTAAGGGAAATTATGTATGCGCGTGAGTGTCACAGAGCGTAACTGACATGCAACATGACCTAAATAATAATAATCATGGAATAGGCTAATTACATCACGGTCACCGAATCATTTGTAGGTGATGATAATATAGCACGAAGGCCGCTGCAAATCAATAAAAATGTTTTCAAGCAGTTGTGTCACATAATAAGTCAATTGGTTATATCGATCACTGTAATCGATATTTCACACACGGTTTATAAATGTAACATCACTAAATTACACTTACCGACACCATTTTGCAGTGTATTAAATCACAGAAAACGAAACGATATCAAATTTTTGGTGAGATCATAAATTCTTGGAACACTCAAAACATTGACTGGACACTTGAAGCAATTCAATTCACATTTTTAGGGACATTATTGTGAAAATGTTTTGACAGTATTTGTCATTTTGTAGAGACCCATAGACATAATATAAATAATAAATACAGGGAGAGAGGCATGGACCAGTCAAAACTTTTACAGATTTAGATTTTAAATTGTAAATAGGCAGGATTTATTACGTTAAAAATACTATTTCTGTGAAATATACTAATAATTTAGCTATTTAATTTAATAAAAAGTAAAACTTCGGTATTCACAGTTTTCTGACACCTGTTTATTTTAACCTTTTTCATTTTAGCCACCGCGTCTTCGAGCAAATATAATAAGGAGACATCTTAGATTTTTCGCCGAAATTTAGTGATCGAAGCAGTTTGTTAATTAATAATTTTTATGCTTGTTTTAGGTTTCGATGGCCAATTATCTTCTTCAGAAGACGAAAGACAACCGGTAATTGGCAAACATATCGAGCGATATATCATGGACCATAAGGACTAAAGTTGTACGCCGTTCACAAGATCACTGAGCCAAATTAATTGTGGAAGATAGAGGAGCTATGCGTACTGCAGCTATGGAGAAACGTCTTCAGTGAGCAGTGTTGCAGTGGCGCGTGAGATGGCTTTGCGGCCATGGCAAAGGCATTCGTGATTCCGATACATATTCAACAGTTCGACTAAACTAGGTAGGTATTCTACACACACATTTACATTGTCTAGACTTTAGACTGATCGAGTTTCAATCCTTAGCTATTGTGATAAATGTAGTGTCAGTTACATAAAACATTATTCTAAGATTAAGGTGACAACTTCTTAAAATATACCTAGTTAGGCAATTACGAAGACTCATTCTACCTTAAGGTATCATATTCATCGAAGTGATTCATTTTGAGTATTTGCGTTTCGTTTACTTATAAATAATGAATCATACGAGCAAACGTGCCGTTTAGAATCAACACCGTTGGTTAGCTCTTGTTAAAGACTGGCTTCACGCTAGTGGTTTAAAGAAAATAATTGACGTTTAAAATTCATAAAGCTATTTTTCTAAAGCAGTTGCTTTTAAAGTTAATGAGAAAATTCTGTCTTTGCAATGTCGTCAACATACAAACAACACAAAGTGAGACGACGTCATAACTGAGCATTTGTGTAGAGAAATGTGATTTAAAAATTATGTTAACAAGAGAAAATTTAATAAGAATAAGAAATTTATTTATAATATTCATTAGGTACATGTCAAATTGTGAAATTGTCAATACAGTTTATTAATAATATTCAAATGGCAGAATCAATCAATACAAATCATGTCCAATAATAAATTAATAATATAAATAGATTTTTTTTATTGTCGCTATTATTAGGTATTTTAGACTAAATGTCTCTTTAAGCATCATTGTATTAAACCAAAGATGCGTGGAGAGTTATTCGAAATATTAAAACACTAACTAACATCAAATCGTACTAGTATTCAAATTACAACACCGTTATCAGTAGCAGACTGACATAATCTGTTTAATAATATTTTAATCTGGTTAATTACCAACAAGTAAACTTTAGTTAGTTGAGATAAAATTAGTTTTGATACCAATGTAGGTATAATACTCGTAATGGTTTAAAATGTAGTTAGTCCTGTTATGGTAACTCACAAAGCTTTGAATGGGGATTAAATTGCACAGTTTATCTACGCTGGTTCGTTTACCGGACTGGATGGAGCTGCAACTTTAATTATGAGTAGCCTCAGACCAAAAGCGCTTTTAATATTTTCTAATAGTCTAGCCCGAGGCTCTGTCTGCAGCATGAAATTCGATTCATCTAACAGAAACTATTTAACTGTACTTTTGTTTCTGAAAGGGTCCGAGACGACATTTAATTTTACGTATTGAAACCTGAAATTAGTCTGTTGGAATTTGATAATGCTTTGTATCTAGTAAATTATTGTATTGTTTTGTTTCCAATACACCTATACTTTCAGGTCTAGTTTGTTCATAAAATTAGTTCAGTCAATTTTATTTATTTTTCATTGCACTGATCAGTTCCAACGATTATTAAAATTTAAAAAAAAACTTTCAAACTCTCAGTAAACACTTGAACATCTATACAGTTACGTCACTGACAGTTATAACAGTGACGTCAAGTCAAGTGATTCAGCCAACATAATACTGAAGGAGCAATAAAATTTTGAAGTGAATATCTCGCATATTTTTCAACCGACTCGTTCGAATATTTTCACACCAACACTGCTTGAGGAAGGTCCTAGTTCTACGAAAAGTTCTTCGAGCGACGTAGACTTTTATGCAGTCGACTGAATTCGATTTGCACCGAAGTTGTGGAACTTGTGGAGATATATGCAAGAATTTAGAGCCCTTCGAGCGAGTTTCTGAATGGTTTTCATATTTATTTTGCAGATAAAATTGTTTGCATTTAAAATCCTATCTGTGTAGACATGAAAATATGTGTACTTGTAACACATAAGACAGTAATGATTATTTTTTATCTTTTTAATCACTAAAATCCTATTAGAAACATAATTTATTTATTTACATTATTTTACCCAATTAATAACCCAGTGAATAGGCAACATAATAAATATTTGTGTTTTCTACTCACACAATACTTTCAATCATGCGAATTGATTGAAAGTATTATGTCATGTGATTCGAAACGTCTCTTTTGGATTAAAAATATTGCAAACGATAATATCTATCGCTTTATTTATTAATATGATATAGTTTTATCTGTACGATAGCTTTACACATACGATTTCAGTAATTCATTTCGTAAGCAACTTAATAATTACTACTACTTTTGTACATTATTATGAACATACTCCAGACGACTCACTTAGATTAATAACAAATAGGTAATACTGTAACTGTACACTACTGTACAGATCTATTGATTTTTATAAGGAATGGAATTGATCATTTTCATGTCAACAGTGCAGTAAAGTCACATGGAGACTCCAATGTGACCAAGATTTGATAGTGTCGCACGCTTACTGCCGCGGCCGGAACATGGACGCCCGTAACTAGGGTTGGTTGGTGGCTGCCGCGTCAGGCAAAAGTCGAGACAGAATAATATCAAGCGCCCCCGTTAATTGCACCCCCAAGTGACATGTCCAGCTTTTAGGGCTTTTGGTGTTTTTGAACCTGGCAACCCTACCTGTAGCAATTTCTTCAGGGAACACCCTAATGCAGCGTAATAACAAGCGTAATGCAGTCATTTCATCGAAACCAAAGTATCTAGGTAAAAACAAATCAAATTTAAAATAGGTTTCTAAAAATATTTTAACCGACTGAATGACCTAATAAAATCTAGAAGGATGAATAAAACATGCACCTATTTCTTACACACCTACTGCAAATTTATTATGTTGGACGCGGGTCGTTTATTGTGCCAACTTATGAATATATTTACTTCGTAAGTATTCAAGTACTTTCTGGTTTATTTATATCCCTAGTTCCCAAAGGTATAATCTGCTTTTTTTTTTCAGGAACATTTTATGTTTAATCATACCTAAAATTTTCAGATGGATTTAAGATATAAAAATGTTACTAAAATCTGAATTTGGCTTACTATTTTTTAAACTTTACTTTCTTTGACTTCATATAAGTAGGTACCTACCTATTACGTATCTTCTAACTTAATATACGTAATAGGTAGGTACCTAATATGTTCTAGAAAAACTCAATTTCCTTTTTTCTTAAAAAATACCTATCCTTATTAACGAGCTTCTTTATTTTATAACAATTATTTGAAAATAGTCTTAATTGATCATTTAGTGTTATAAACTGCCTACTGCAGTCATGCAGATCTTAATTTATCAGCTAGACTTGAAAAATCAGAGTTCTACTTTTTAGATTGAACTTGACTCCCTAAAATACCCATAAAAACGTGGCAACCGAGCAGAACTGCGGTCTAGTGCTAGTTTCAGCATGAGACCTTTATGACAATTTAAGGTCGCTATACGGTCACCTGCACGTCCACCGCTGAATCATACCTACTCGTAATTCCCAAGTTAACTATTGCAAAGTCAAACCAAAATATCGGATGTGTTTTACATGATTTTTATGATTCAGGTCGCTCTCCTGATTAGATGTATTTTTTCTCAAAGGAATTTCTTCAAACGAGTAGGT